AGCGATATTGAGAAATAATCTGAGCTTTGAAGTGAAAAAGTAATACCGTTTTTGAATAGCCGTGAATTCATGTAGAGGAGACCTTTCGATATGAAAGAGTAAAAAAATATACAATTACAAAAAATACTCACATAATAATTTTTCATCCAATTCTCCTCTTGAAGACACTGATAGAGCACATATAAATTCTTTGAAACCAATCTTTCCATTTTTATTTTGATCAATTACATCAAAAAGATAACCTGCAAATTTTGAAGCATCACCATGTGGAAAGAATTGTTTATAGATTTTTTGGAATTCATCTTTGCTAAGTTCACCCTTGGGACAATCCTTGAGAAATCCTTTGTACCTTTTACAATGATAATAATTATTATTATTAAATGAATTATTTTATTTGGTTAAATGATTGATTAATTTACCATAATTGAAGTTCATTTTTATTAACTTTATAAATAATAAGAGATTTTTTAGTTAATTATATAATTGGGTTGTAAAAAAGGCGAGTTGAATTGAATAATTTATACGCCTACAATAAGTGCATCTCTGAAGCTCTTTGAGTTCATCATCTTTAAGTTTACTATTGTATTTTCCCATAATTTTATTTAAAAATGTAAATTCTAGAATGGCATTTTATTTCGGGGAATAACAGTGCAGATAGTCTATAATTAAAAGTTGTTCATAATTAGGAGTCGAATGTCTTTAAAAAATTGTTATAACATTTCAAAAATGAAAATAATAAGTTTATGACTTTAGCTTCAAAATTTATCGGGTTAGATTTTTCTTGACTAAAAATTGGTTTCGTGTAACAATTTTTTTTTCTTGGTGCAGGTCATCTGAATTAATCCTGAAAAGTAATTAGGTCGGGCATTTTTTACACATTATTAATATTAACAAAATTTTCCGGAAGTTGCAAGATATCAACAAAAAAACTTTGTTAATATTAAAAATAAAGGCAAAAAAATCATGTCATTAAATTGATTCATTAGAATCCTCAGCCCTGTAAAAAATGCCACTCCAGAATATTCCATTATATCTCCGTGATCATGTTTTATCATTCCGTAAATGTTCGGTTTATTTTATAAAAGCAGCAATCAGTTGAGTAAGCAATCCGGATTTTTCTGTGATGTTATTTATATTAATACAAGGACATTTGTAAATGTGGAATTAAAACGGAATATGAGAATAAGATTTTATAGCTCTGAAATATTATTAAGTTACTGATAAACTCGCAAATAAAAATGGGAATTTTTTTTTACAAAGCATTTTATTTGTTAACTATAAACCTAAACGCGGAAATATATTATTATTATCTAGTTGTGTAGCATTTCCCGCAGTTTTACTGATGGAGGGATGCCCTTTGATTAGAGTAGATAAGATTTTAGAGGAGAGTTCATTATCTCACAAATGAACTTAATAATCAAATTATATCAAAGAAAAAATATTAGCTTCACAACCACCTGGTCTCAAAAAATGAGCATGGAATTGGAAAGATGAATAGGCACAAATTCCA